CACCAGCCTCTAAGAACAAGAAAAATTAAGATAGCATTAAAATTTCTTATGAAAAAGGTTAGATATTAAACACTGAAGTTTCTGGAGGTAAGACCTAACAGCTTCCAACATCARTGGAGTAGGGTTGTTTTGAACCGGCAATAAAATTTTGTTGGCTTTTTTTTTTTAATTGCAGTGAAAAAGGATTCTGGGTGGCATTGCGTAAGCCAGTTCATGTAGCTAGTACTTATTTAATAGTCATCTATTGGTAGTTATGAAGCAGTTTAATATCTGAGTTCAATTTTCTCATTTTCTGACTTATTTTAATATCTTACGATATTTGAAAATTTCYAAAAAGTAAAAAAAATTCAGTATCTTGTGGTCTCACATGCAGTTAAATGTTTGCATTTTCTTTCAGTCCTTTTTTCAATGTATAAATATGAAAATTACTTCATAGTTGAGATCATACTGCATATATGCTACTGTATCTTGCTTTTTTCATTTTAACGTCGTGAGCATTTTTTTCCATGGCATTAAAAACTGTCTGAAAAATGGAAAGCATTTGGGCTGTCAGCATAACTGAAAATGTTTTCTTGGTGTGATACATGTATCTTTGTAACTGGTTTGATTTAGTGTGCTTTACTTCAATAAAAATTCAGTATTACAATTTACAGATTGGGGTGGGGAGTGGTATCTACTTCAAATTAYCAGAATCTTCCTAGTAGAATTCTTTTTTAAATGATTCAACTTCCTGATACATCTAAAACACTGCATTGACACTACAAGTGCTTGCCTGGCATTTCAGAACACAGCTTTGGGCACAGGGCGTGCTGCACATCTCAGTGCAGTTCTTTTCCAAGGCAAGAATGCCAGTTTCTTAGGGCTTCCAGGTAGAATGTTACCCATTTTGTTCCAGTTTGGGGGATTTCAGATCCTCCTTTCTCCAGGAGATATCACTGGTGGAGCAGATCTGCTGAGGGCCCTGAACCTGTGCCTGTGGATCAACAGTGTGCCTTCTCACCTCCAGGGCTAGGCTTCTTCACAGGGGACTGAGGCTCTGGGATCCCCATAGAGAGTGTAGACGGAGCCTCAGCCCCTGGCTGGCGGACCAAGGCAGTGAGATTGACTGGGTCAGCAATTGCTCTTTCTCTGCCTGTGTGTGACAATGTGCTGGGAAACTGGAATTAAATGTAATCAATTCTGCAAACAGCATTTTCTTATTACCCTAAGCATGAACTTGGTATGACAATAATAGCTCTGTGCTACTTCTTAATAATTTGCCATGTAACTTGGATTCCTATAACCTGGACTGTAAATTTGTTTTAGTTCCAAATGGGAGTTTTCAAARTTTGATTAAATCATCCTAATCATTTTTACCCCATTCCTGCATTAAATATTTTAAATGGATGCAGAACCTTTAAAACTGAGTTATTTATCTTGTATTAAGCAATTGAGACTTTTCTGTCTAATCATTCTACTTGTTCTACTGCTTTTGTCAATTGATATTCCCATAGCCTTTTTGAAAAAGTGTGTTTTTTGGTAGAAATTAAGTTGTATGCCCTCAGGACAGACAACTTAGTTTTAGTTTTGAAGCATGTTTAGATTTTCTGTACTTGTATAGGCCTAATTGTTTATGTGGCTTAGCTAAGGTTTCCTAAGCATCTTCCAGTAGCTGTCATTGGTTTGTAAAATAAAATTTGGGCTGTTTAAAATGCATATATATTTTGGTTGTTAATCTTAATTTTTTTTTGACACTGTGTTAAACCTTTTTGGGGAAGATTAGTGAGTCAAACTTAAAAAGATCTTCACTGTTGAGAGTAGCTATTAGGTAATGTTGCACATTGTGATTTTACTTGAGCTTTTAAACTCTAGGTCATATATCCAATAATGCTTATGATTTCCCAGACAATACTGGGGAAATTTCAAATTAGCCAAGTTGATGTTTAATGTATCCTCTTTTTCATGGGGAAGTTGTAACAAGATAAATTTGCTTAAAGTGACTAGCCAAGTCTACTTCTGATGGGAGTGTTTTATAAGCCTTTGCTATTGTCATTATTTCATAGGACCATAACTAAAAGGGTATTGGAGTGGAGTTTGTGAATTCTTTCTATAGTTTCAAATGGTATAGGCTATCCTGGATTTAATTATTGAAGTTGACTGATTATTACCAAATCTCCAAATTCCCCAATTATGGAACAAGTATGAGAAGGTTATCACAGGAGTTCTGGGCACCTCCTAGTAGTGAGTTATGGGCTGTGGGATTAGGAAAAAGGAAGGCACAGCTTCCTTGTAGGAAGCTAACAGGCTGTGTTAACTTTTTAAAAATGCCAACAACTTGGATAATTGAGTTTTAAATGTGGTGGCATTGATTTAAATGAAGTGAGCAGCTAGCAGTCTGGGTTTATTCCCTGAGGTCAAAAGCTGAGCTTCAGRTATCAGTAGATTACAGAATGCAGGGTTGAACTTTGGGGTGTTTATTATTTTTCAGAATTCAGTGTTCTGTGCCCATGCCTAGTCCTGTGTCGAGTCCTTTAGATGGAGATGAAAAGATTGTCTATAGGCAGAGATGATTGAATGTACTATATAAGAAGAGCCCAGGATGTTCCTTTTCTTGTATTCCAAGTAAGCCTGTGGGTTGGGAAGAGAGAGTRCAGTTTCTCTTGAAGTGTGAAATGTCCTAAAGGTAGTTAGGAATATAGTGGGCCCTGAGGCAGGAGAGGGGTCTCCTCCTGTGGTCCAGTTTGGAAAACACTGGTTGGTACATATGGGTAGGTTAAGGGGTGGAGGAACTCCCCTGGGTGACACCTGCCTATCTGCCTGTTGGGCAGAAGAAAACCCAGCAGAGCCAGCTGAGGAAGGAGCAGAGTTGGAAGCAGGAGGGAAGAGGAGCCAGCCAGTGACTGAAAAGGAGAGGTAGGAGAACCAGCCTGCAGGAAACCGGAGGAGCTTCTGGGCCTCAGGCAGCAGGTCTAAATGTTGATAAGCAACACAGGCCTAATTTGAGGAAGAGCTGCTAATCAAGGAGACTGGCAGTGTGTAAATCATCTCGAGTTTTGGGGTGGGTTAAAGAGGGCAGAGAGGGAGAAAATTGGCCAGAGAGATRAGTCTACTAAGGTAGGCTGGCCCTTGACCCTGAAGCCACTTTCTTGGTGAAACAATTTAGGCTTTAAGAAGGGGCAGAATAAAAGCCAATAGGAGTATAGATTCCACTTGAGTTGGGAGGGGGGTCTCAGCTCTTTCTTATTGTCGATAACTTAACCTTTTATATAACTTTCCCCAAACCAGGAATCAAACCCAGGGGTGCTTGACTTCAGAGTCATACTCCCAGCCCTTTTTATTTTTTATTTTGAGGTGCGGTCTCACTAAGTTGCTGAGGCTGACCTTATATTGATATTCTCCTGCCTCAGCCTCCTAGTCTCTGAGATTACAGGTGTGGGCCACTGCACCTGGCTTTTTTCAGCTTGGTTTTTCATTTGCATGTTATAGAGTTACTTTGTAGATTACATTTCAAAGTACTTARTATAGTGCCTGACCAAGGAAGGTACTTGGGTATTAGTGCTCTCCTTTTTTTTTTTGTAATCAGGTGCTGGCCTTTGAAAGGTTAAGAGGGTAGAGGGACACTTAGATTTCCTCAGACCTCCACCAGTGTCTGTTGAGGTGTATGTTCTGGGGGAGACCTTGAAGGGGACTGGTTGGAGTAGTGCAGAAACAAGAGCAAAGGCCCCTGGAGCAGGAAGTTGCAAGCCACCCTTATYAGGGAGGCGTGGACCATTGAATGGTGGTAGAGATGGGAGGTGGCTGAGGCCATGGGTAGAAAGCACTGTCCACAGAGGATTCAGAGAGAGCGAACAACATCAAGGGGAATTCAAGCACATTTGATGTGGTAGGAGGCAGAGGATTCTTCTTTCAACACAACTTTTSAAGTTTAAGCCACATTTTTACAGAGTTCAAAATTAAAATGGACTCCTACCAAATCAAAACAAGAAGCTTATTTTAAAATCTAAGAAATCTTATTCTTCAGGAACATCAGCTGCACTCGATCATTTTATAAATCCAATCAGGCAATGACAGAATCCCTAGGTGAGGCTAGGAGAGCGGAAGGGGAAATTCTTAAGGTGAAAAATCCACTGTCAGTGCTAGGTTTCTGAGTTCAGTACCATGGTTATAAAGTGTCCTGGCACGACTTGTGCCTTTCACAGGTTTCTCCTGGACATTTAGGTGTGGAATATAGTTTTGGCTCCTTAAATTGAAGATTCTGAGGAATGAGTGTCCAAAGACCAGTGCTAGGTATATTCCGATTTAATGATGTGAAAGCAAAGCCAGAACTGTTCCTACCACTGTCTTCCCTTCTGAAGGACTAGAGACAGCATTGATTGGGCTTTCCTGAGGAATCTACCAAGTAAAACCCAGACCTTGGGTGTTTGTGTAGACCCATTTGTCCTGAGCACACCCACTTTGTATGTGATGCCCTAGCATAATTTTTAACAAGGATACCTTTTCAGGCTTGACAATGTGTTTATTTTGGATGATGCTCATCTTTCCTGGAGGGGATGTTGACCAAGCCCTCTCAGGCCTGGAAATGACTTCTTGCTTTCCCTATGTACACCACACACAYGTGCTTTGCACAGATCTATTGGGGTGGTGGCTTTAAAAAAAACCTAAATGTCCTGTTTAAATAAGCACCTCCTGTCCTCCCTCTGCAAATTGCAGTTTCTACCTAATAAAGGAGATGGAGAATCTCATGGTGTATTTGTACACCTAGCACAGTGCTTGACAAACGGTAAGCTTTTCGTAATTGCTACCAATATTGGTGTAACTACCGTAAATATTGGTAGTATTACTTGTAAGCCCCACATCAAAGCCAATAAAAAAATGATAAAACTTAACCACTCATTGGTGACCCCTTACAGAGAAAATTGGCAATAACCCCTTGACACTGTGACAACGTGGAAAATAAAGTGGGTTGCTTTCAAGAGGGCTAAATAATGGAGCAACTCTAAAACCTCTTTTCTTCTTCCTAGGTCTTAGTGGTGCAATGGCTAGTATAAGCGTGCGTTCGAGTACCCCAGGCTCTCCTACACATGTAAGCAGTGGATCGAATGCTAGTCGAAGGAGAAATGGACTCCATGATGTCGATTTGAACACTTTCATATCAGAAGAAATGGCACTCCACTTGGACAATGGTGGAACTAGAAAGCGTACCTCAGCCCAGTGTGGCGATGTCATTACAGACTCACCAACCCATAAACGCAACAGAATGATCTAAACTGCAAACATTTTTCACACCCACCATGCTGCTTGAAAGCCACTCGATCCTCAACATATACTATTATTGCAAAGGCAACATGAGGCCATCTTCCCTTGTTCACTGTTTAAGACAAGTGAATTCGATAGTGGTTGCCATAAAAGGAAGTTCTAGGTATTTACAGTAGATGCCTCTTGTAATATGGCTTTCTCAAAAACTATAATCCTAGCAGAGGACATCAGATATCSTGTAGTCATTAGCAAGATCATCATAGGCAAACATATCCGTTCCAAGGCTAAAAGTGACCTTAACTGTATTTATTCTCAAAGGGAAAGGAAATATCAGATGTTTATTTGGTTATAGAATTTTTTTCCTCCCCTCCCCCAGTCCATTTCCTGCTGTGTTGAGTATTTTGCTTCAACAGTATTGCCAGGTTCCTAAAATTGTCTAAAAACACGATTTGGCTTCCTCGTCAGATCTGCAGGCTTCCATTTTTATAGCCGCACTGTACCATGCACCTGGTTTCTATATAGTAACAGTGTGCAACTTCTAATTATTGGACTGTGCCCTGTTTTTAGTTTTCAACACAGTTTCTAATTCTGGTGATTGTGTGATGTAAAGAGGTGCTATGATGGTCATGCAATTAATACTTAATATTGAATCAATACACAAAACTTTATTGGATTCACTTTGTGTGTGTTAGTGCTCTAAAAATAGCAATATTATTAAACTGCCCCAGATTAACCCTGTAGGCTTCAAATACTCAGTTTTAAGACAAGTACTACTTCTATGCGGGGTACTCCTTACGGTAAATGTAAACTTGTAGTCTGCATTCAAGGTGACCTGAAATAGAGAGGTCATGAACTTTGAGAGTGGGCTTCCTTTTGGTTCAGTATTAGTGAGAGGGAGATGGATGGGTGGGATAGGTATTTATTCTAGTCTTTCATATCTGCTTTTTCATTTTTCACGGATCCCTACTTTGTGCAGTTTCCATTATAGTGGGTGGAAGGTGACAAAGCTGTTTTATCTACTAATAATGTGATCACAACTTAAGTAGCAAAACCCAACTCTCCCTGTCCCTCCATTCCCCCTCCTCTAAGAAGTGCAGTTTGGAATCTCATTCTGGAAAAGGTGGAATCGCATGGAGGTTCTCTAGATGTTAGGTAGACCTAAATAAAAGTTCTCAATAGAGTCCTCTTGGAGTAAATATAAGACCTCTTGTAGCTACAATGTTTTAGAGCATGTTTCATCTTCATTTTTAATATCTTGAACTGAATGATAGTCTTTTTTAGATGAAGAACTGATGTCAGCCTGCCAGGTACTGTAATTTATTCTATCCTATTATTATATATCAAGTAGGACAGTGAAAAATGTTTCCTTGCAAACTTGTAGTCCAGTATCAGTTACTTCCTATTTTTATCCTTAAATGACCATTGCAAATCAGTGTAAGGGTTTTTCCAGTAATTACAGCACTTTGTTAAAGTTTGCAATTTCTTCAGCCATTTAATATCTTTCTGTGAAGAAACTTTGCTAAGTTAACCATTATTGACTGGGTGGGATGTGAATGGAATGTTAGAAATGTTGTGTGAATTGAAGTTCTGTATTCGTTATAGATATAACCCTTATTTAAAACAGTGAAATCCATACTCAAAAGTAGGAATGAAAGGTATTCTAAATTTTTGCAAAAGTGGATCATTTTTTGTTAGAGTATGATAGCAGGAAGAATTATAGCAATCTATCATTTTACCTGAAACGGACATGCCTATGTATTATGAATACTTTAAAGCTTCCCTTTGGAATATACCAAGAAATGCATTTGGAATTATCTTTGCTTTTCTGTYATTGTAAATTTAGGTTCTGGAATTGGGGTTTGGTGATGTGATGCATTGCTCACGAGAGGCCAGAACTCCTATTCCTACAGGATTTTGCGATGGAGGAACACATATTTAATCTCCCCTTTATGCCTTGGTTCTTGTTCCTCTTTCTAAGTTGAATAACAATATTTTTGGTTGTTTTGTTTTAAGTTGGTGCTCTGAAGCTTAATCTTAGTACCCTTTATTCTCAATTGTCAAATTTTGATAAAACATGTGCCATTTTCTTTGGTAAGAGAAAGCAGGTCTGCCAGAACACAATTTATATGCCTTATTGGCTCCATTAAACTTTTTAAAAACTTTAGCATTTGTTACTTTTTTCCATTGCATTTAATCTGAAGTGCTCCTTGTCACCTGTGGTAACCTTCCCTCCACTTCCATGTCCCATTGCGCTCTTCCTGTGCCCCGAGCTCTCAGAATGACCCTGAAACCCCTAGTACGAAGGGAGATGATTGCTAATCTTAGGAGAATTTAATTTTGACAGTTTAGTTCAAAATACTTGGAAACTTCTTTGTGTCAGTTTAGATGCAAAACAAATCATGGAAGATTGCATACTGTGTGGTACTGAAAAGTAATGCTGATTTTTTTTTTTTTCCCCCTCCAAGTCTCTTGAACAACATAGACTGAAATTTAAAACTTGGAAGTTTAGATTGGGYGAACAGACCTTCTTCATCTTCAGCTGGAGGCTGATTCTTTAGACGTTGCAGCTCATTAATTCTGCTCCTGTTGCTCTAACTTCGCACGAGCAGGTTGAGTTTACCCTACACTGCAGCGTTCTGAGCATGGCTGGAATATTCAAACTTTTAATGTGTAGTATTTTATAGAACAAAATTAATGGAAAGCATTTGGCTAAATCTAAAGAACTGCAGTCAGATTCTTCAATGTGGTTTACCCAACTGGAGTAGATACATACCTTAAATCATAAAGTGAATAAATCATTTTAAAAACCCAAAACACCATGGGGCTTGTCTGCAGTTTTGTTTTGATCATCATATCCGAATAACTTTTTGTTGTAAATAGAGGAAGTTTAGGTTTTTGAAAAACAATTAGTCTTTTAGATTTTTTCTAAGTTGGGCTGTTTAGCTCACTAAACTTTATTGTGGCTTTGGGCCTAATGGTTTCATTCATCTGTGAAAGCTGGGGTGGCTCCCTGTATAGGAAGAGGAGGGGTGGTTAACCCAGGTGCAGGGGACCAGGGGATGATTTTGAAATGGGACCTTTAGTCACAGACACCTGCAGCACCATTAMTTCTAGAAAAATGATGAGCAGACTCACTGTTTCTGGCCCGATGCTCCCTGCATGTAGTGACTGTTGGCAGATGAATCCTGTGGGGTTTATTTCATATAGCAGCCTGTCACCTGGCAGTTCACCCATTAGATGGGTCGCTGAGGTGTCTGTTGTGGTGAGGTTGGGAGTGTTCATACAAGGTCATCTGTGGATAGAGGAGGCTCTGATCAGATGTTAATGGCTCCTGCTGCCTGCTCTCTTGAGAGCCAACCTGGCTCCAGTGGTTCAGACAACTTTGCCCTTCAGGGTAGCTGTCCTGCTGCACTCTGGAGYACCTGGCAGGTCTCTGTGGGCACATTATTTGAGAAAGGAGCAGGCCTGGACACTGAGGTGTGTGTCCGTCCCACTGTCCCACTGCATGAGGAGAGGTGTGAGGTCTGCCTGCTGAGCTGCTTCCTGCGCCCTTCTTGTGAAGTTTAGTAGTGGCGGTTTGTCTGTGACATGAGATAGGTTCCCCCACAGGTTTTGAGGCCTTCACAGAAGGAGTAAGTTTTGGCGCTGCTATTCCATAATGAGTAGAAGGGTAGCAGTGGCTATTTTGGCTTCTTTAAGTCTCCATAGGATGAATTCATGCAGGTGAAGTTGCTGACTTAAAGGGATTTRTATTTAAATAGGATAGGTTCTGCCAACCTCTCAGGCATCAGTTGATACTTGGAATGGCATGGTCACTGGTGCCAGGCGCTTGCATCTTAGCCAGTGCTGGGCAGCTGTGGTTCTTGCAGGCAGAGTGATCTGGTGACTTTAAATGGCTTTTTGCCCTCTCATATGAAGGAAAGTTTTTTGTGGGTTTCAAATGCTAGAACTATGCCAGGGGATAGAATTAAGCCAGGTAAGCTTGCTTTTTTGGACTCAGTTCCAAAACTATGTAAAGGTAAAATAGAAAGATGTGACTCTTGGTGGCTGGATCCCTTGGAAGTCGAGTACACTTACAGGCACATTTTGGCATCTGCTTGTCACGTAGTTTATGTCAASAAGACATCGATTTCAGTGTGCCACTGAAAAATCAATAATGCATTTTTGTGAAGATAACTTAAATGTCAGATATTAGCGTAAAGGCCCTGTTTGACATGTCCTCTCCCTTCACCAAAGGTGAGGCTCAGTAATTGTGGAAGGTGACTTTCCAGACAGTTTTCTAAATGTTTACAAGTCTCCTGTGTAGACATTAATCAGTAGGTGAGTACGGGTGAGTTGGAGTTGAAGAGCCACTGTAGGAGGCTCCGCAATGGGTTTTGAAGATTGGTTTCAGCTGGCTTGGGGGGCAGCTGAGGTGGAGATAACAAGCAGGATTAAGCTGGTGTGTGCTGTGAAATGGGAGTTTTCAAGGCAAGGACTTAACCACACGGGTGAGGTCCTGTGCCCACAAAGGAACTGCCCCGGGTGGGTGGGTCCCGGCAGCCTCACAGCCAGTAGCACTTGATCGCTGATTGGGGGACTATGCCCCTCTGACCAAGTTGAGGGGTGTCAGTATTGGTGAGTGCTGTGCACTGTGCGGGCGTGGAGAGCGGTTGTTGGCAAGGGCTGTGGCTCTCCTTTGCTTTAGGTCAGTGGGCATTGCAATYGTTCAGGGCTCTAGTCATTCCTGGAACTGCCTTGGAGAGCCTCAGGGCCCTGGGCCTTCCTCTGGCCTCAGCAGTGAAGAGGACTGACTGTGCAGCCTGACCCATAAGAACAGCTTGAGGTTCAGGCTTTTCAGCACATGGGGGCCAAGGCATGTGCCCCGCTGGAACTGAACCCTTCTGCCTTTGACAGTGGGGATTGAACTCAGGTGCTGTACCACTGAGTTCTATCCACAGCCCTTCCTATTTTTAATTTTGAGATAGGGCCAAGTTGCTGAGGCTGGCCTTAAACTTGTGATCCTCCTGCCTCAGCCTCTCTACTAGCTAGGATTACAGGCATGCACCACYGTGCCTGACTTGTAACTGAACTTCTGTCCTTGAGTGGTGGAAGGAGGTTGTTTCAAACTTACTAATTCCTCCCCATGGCAAATGTCAAAACCATGATGGCTGTGTTCATTTCAAGGTTTATTTTCAAATTTGTAACTACTCAGGGGCATGGGGCTTTTGCGGGGAGGGGGCATCACTGGGGATGGAACCCAGAGCCTTGCACAAGATAGGCAAGCATACTGCCTCTGAGCCACTCCTCAGTCCTCGGGGGTTTTGACCGCTGTTGGGGCCTCCTAGCTGAGYGGGAGTGTTGTGTAGAGCTGTGTGTTCACACAGTCCCATTGGGTTTGTGGAGGCCTGCCTCTGGCCATTCTGTTTCTCAGACATGCTGGGCTATGATCTACAGTAAGAAGTACTTCTCCCCGAGGGCCTGCCGTGAGCATGCACATACACACGCAGCATGCTGTGACCGTGAAGGCTGTGTGGTGCGCTCTGCTCCTCTTGTGGTTCCTTGGTATTAAGCTGCTGTATGTGACCGTGTTAGTTTTCAACCAGCTTGGATGCCCGGGCGCTCTGGATGTCCACACCTGGCACAGGGTAGGTATAGATTTTTCTTGAATAAGTGGTTTGAGAACATTTTGTAAAAATCCTTATTTTTTTCTCCTGGGACAATCTGGTTTGAGAACATTTTGTAAAAATCCTTATTTTTTCTCCTGGGACAATCATCAGTCAAGGACAAATGGTGAGGAACAGGACTCCGCCCAGTGCCTGCCTCCCCAGCCCTGCCTTCCGTCTGGTGGGATGATGCCTGGCACCTGGTTTGCATCCAGATGTGGGCTATTAATTGTGGTCAGATATGGGTGATTGTGTTCTGAGTAGTCTGCTGTTCCTTTGGATCAAGTTCCCTTCTCAGGGTCCCTCAGCAAGGGCTCTCCTGGGTTCTCCCACTGTCTTCAGCCTTCATTTCACTCTATCCCTTCTCTGGTTTTCAGCCTCTCCGCATATTGGAATCAGCCAGAATGTACCCCAGAAAAGCTTGATGGGACCCTGGGGTGGGGCCCAGGCACTAGGAGTCTTCAAGCTCTGACAGTACACAGTCACTAATGATCACTGTCCTGGGCTGGGCCCCTCTTCCTATTAGCTGGACAGTGAGGTTGGATCCTGGGGCCAGCCCTGAGGCTGAGGACATATGGGGCCCTGGCTGCCCGCCCACCCCCGCCTTCAGGCCCCAGGCTTTGAGGAAGTCTTGGCATGACCAGCATTCCTCTGGGGCAGGGTGTCTTCTGGGCTTGGCAGGGGGAAGTTGGCACCCACAAGGCCCCGGGCATGATGACTCATGGCTCACCAGGAGTGACCCTGCCTGGCTGGCTGTGTCACCTTGGGTTAGTTTAAAACAGATTCCTGGACTCCCCACCTACATACAAACACTGTATCCAAAGGTCTAGGGTGGGTCACACTGATTTTTTTTTTTTTAAAGTAAATTAAAGTCAAATATAAGTGAATCTTACCACCCATTTACCTCTGTTTATGTTTTAGGGTAACATTGATAACATGTTATTTTCAGGGGTTGTACAGGAAGATATGGGTGATTGTGTTCTGAGTAGTCTGCTGTTCCTGTGTGTCACATCATGAAGGGGTGCCTGGAGTCACTGCCGCCTCTCAACCTCGAGGGGAGCTGGGCCAGGTCAAGCTGATGGATACAGCAGAAAACCAAGACCCTTGGGCCCTGGAGCAAGTCAGCCACGGCGTCAACTCGCTGGAACCTTGTTCACACGGAGCAGTTGCCCACCCACTCCCCAGGCCCCACGGGGCCCCCAGTAACAAGTCCCTGGCAGTACTTGAAGCAGCATGCAGACGCTCATACGGCACTTCCTGCACTTGGCCCTGGCCTCTGCCTCAGTTTCCCTAATGCTAGGGGGGGTGACGGGTCTAGTGCTGGGGAAGCTGTCTCCTGGCAACCCGCCTGCAGGATGGCGCTCTCCCCAGGTCTCCAGGGTGGATGGAAGTGTGTAATTGTGAATTGGCCAGTTGAAGGTGGAGGTTGTCCCTTCTGTCTGGTACGTAGGTGAGAGGAATAGGTGTGGCTGGGGGTGGTGCATTCCTCGTTTTGTACCTACTGTGAGGGAACTCTGTCCCCAGTGATTCACTGCCTTACCCTAGGTGCCAGGGGCGCGCCAGCAGGTGGGCTCTTGCAGAGCTTCCTGTGAGCCCGCACCACAGTCACTTCACCTGCCCAGATGGAAGCCTGCAGCCTCCAGGGGGCTGCCTTCCCACTGCGCCAGCCTGCAGCCAGGTCCTGCCAGGGCTGACTTCCTGGCACAGGCTGGTAGGGGACAGACAGGCTCCAGTGGAGGCCACTTGAAGCGGGAGGCATGGGTCATTCCCAGGCTCTGGGGTCTGAGCTGGCCTTTCTAAACCTCCTCCAGAGGCCTCCCTTTGTCACCATCAGCCCTAGCTGCAGATGGCACCTGGACTGTAATGTCTGCCTCTGGGGTGCCCTTGTGTCCCTGGCCTCTCATCTGGTCTTGGGGTTTTCGTTACTGGTTTACTTTTGTTTGGGGTCTGCTTTCCTGGAGGGCAGGGTCCGCCTGTGTCATTCACTGTTCTGTCACCAGGTGGATGTCCAGTGAGGGAAGGAGGGCATTCCCACTCCACAGCTAGGAGGAGTGCCAAGCCAGGATCCGAGCCCAGGTTCATCTGGACTCTGTGCTTTCTGGAAGGCACTTTGAGCCTTTCTTGTGTTGCTCAAGCTTGGGTTCAAATTC